CTCTCTCCCTATTTATTTCAGAATCCCCTTCCCCTCCCCCATTTCTGAAGAAGGGTCTAGGCCTGAAACGTCAGCTTTCCTGCTCCTCTGATGCTGCTTGGCCTGCTGTGTTCATCTAGCTCTACACCTTGTGATCTTAAATGGGATGTGCATTTAGGTAGTACCTTTCACATCCTCAGAAGGTCTCAAGTGCTTCTTAGCTAATAAAATCTAATCAGTGTTGTAATCTACATCAAGATGGCAGCCACTGTATACACAAGGGTCCACAAACAGCAACGAGTTAAATTATCTGTTTCTTAAATGATGTTGATTGGAGACTAAGTGTTAACCAGAAGAACTCCCCCAAACTTCCTCAAATAATACCATAGGATACTTTGACAGAAATTGAAATTAATGTCAAAAAGTTAGCACTGCCAATACAATAAGCCTGGATTCTCTTGTCAAATCCCAGGATTGATGGTTGAACACACGACTGACTCACAAGCAAGTTTGCACCACTGAGTCAGAACTGACTCATAACGCTGCCATTCAGATTTCAGTCAGGATGTCAACAGCACGCTACAAACTGTTCTCAACCTGCCAAGTCGACACACAAGATCAGACCCGCTGAGATGTTGCGAGGAAATCAGCTTTTCCCAGATTCCAACACCTCCAACGTTCATCAAAGAATCTCTGCTAAAACTCTGAGATCCGCAAACATACTGATTTAACCTGATTAGGTGGCATGTTGCATCAGGATTTCTGCTGCATGCAAAACGGATTAGATAAGAAGGAACGAGAACATGTGCTCGAAAGTAACTCAGGAATTCCACTATCTTGGATTCTAAAACCCGCCACTTCAGCATGATGCAGTTCTCACCATCTGTGTGAAACTGTAAATGTTGGTGATTGCAAACAAACAGATAACACGCATGGGCTGATCAATAAAACCCAGGTCAAATGATCGCGTGCATGCCATCTGATTTTGGCATGTTTGTTGGCAGATCTGAAAGAACAGCTGATTCCCTGTTATGTGGGTGGTTTGAACTTTCTGACCAAATGGAGAAAGTCACCATGGGATAGAGAGCTGGCTGGAATCCAACAGAAATGCAGCAGAGCCTTTTGCCCATGAGTTCCAACAAGCCGCTACATCCCACCCAATGAGGACGATGAAAATGTTTTTCTCAAATATCCCATGCCCATTTGAACCAATGGTAGAAGGCAGTGTTTGGCCAAAACTCCCAATAGACACTTTTCCCATGTTTATTTTGGAAAGGAAGTTTTGCAAAGGCTTTTCAAACAAACAATTATTTTGAGATGATTCTCCTCTAAGAGGTCATTCCACAGAAGGGGCTTGAACCTTTATTTCCTCACAAGTGCATACCAGACACTATTGATACTTTAACGGGGGGAGCAAGTTACTGCAGATGCTAGAATCTGTACTGAAAACAATAAATGCTGGAGATCACAGCGGGTCAGGCGGCATTCATGGAGAGAGAGCAAGCTAACGTTTTGAATCTAGGTGACACTTCATCAACTCTAATGAACAGTCATCCAGACTCGAAACGTTAGCTTGCTCTCTCTCCATGAATGCTGCCTGATCCGCTGTGATCTCCAGCACTTTAATGGGCTCTGGTTAGCTCAGTTGACTGGATGGTTGGTTGGTTGATGATGAGTGATACCAACAGTGCAAGTTCGCTATAAAGATCCTGCCTTCTCAACCTCGCCCTTTGCCCGAGGCATGGTGCCCTTCAGGTTAAACTCACCAGTTTGCCTCTCTCTAATGACAGATCAGCCCTATTCCCCTCTGGGAGTATGACAGCATTACAGTCGCACTTTAAAGTTTTAAGAATGGTACAGTTTAGATTTTTGTTAGCTTGTAAGTGTTTGAAAGTAATTCCCCTCCTACTTTGAGATCATTGTTTTTCTCTCTCGATCATTTCCCGGATAGTTGGAGAGTAAGCAGCCCCAGTGAGGGCCACAATGTCCCAGTCCCACAGGGAGGCATGGGAAAACAATCCAAAACTCACCTTCGCCAGGGCATAATATCTAATGAGGAATTTAAGAACGCGTTGAGACTATTCAATGCCTCAAGTCTGTTCTGCCATAAATAATGGGTGATCTCTAAGGTGATCTACCCTATTTGTTTCTCTAACCTTGAGTATACTCGCCTGACCAAAAAAAAAACGCATTCCTTTCCCCATCTCCCTCTAACTTGTGAACTGGACCGAGGTTGGTAAACATGATGAATGTTAGATTCAATCTGGCACTCCTCAAACTGCCATTGCAGCCTTTTTTTTCCATGTTGTGTTGAAGTGGTAATTAAAAACAGGCAGTGTTTGTATACAGTATTTTGGTATGGGAACACAGCTGGTTTGGATTTGCAACCTACAGGCTATTGAACACAAACCAGCCCCAGAGACCATTCTAAGTAAAGCATCGCATTCTATTGCATCTTCACTGGATTATTTGCTCAGTGTGTCCCCATTATCTCTATCCCCCTCAGTACCATATACTGTGCACGGACAGAAACTGAGGAAGATGCACGTTGATAACCACAGCTAGTGATACAACAAAATACCTTCACTGCAGCTGTCTGAGACACTTGTCAAGTAGCAATGACAAAATTAGGAACAAACAAAAAAATGCACAACAGCTCTCTAAAATACTGACTGAAGCAAGCCTTATCCATCAGCCCGTCAGTTCTGATACACTGATGTGCTGCATCCCCTCAGGCAACACATGCTTACTGCCAGCTCCAGAAGACTGAATTTCAGACAATTTTATTTACACCATAATGCACTTACTTTCCCTCGTCTTCTCTAGATCTCAGCCTTCAATGCAGCACAGAGGGTTAATAGCAGATACACTGGAGGTAGTTTGCTTGCTGCAGGTACAGGTACAGTCCAGCGTGTGATTTACCCGTTCCCCTTGCAACCACCCCCCCGGCCCCCACCTTGATTTTCAATGGCCAGTAGCAGGTCACTGGACACTATAGAAACTGTGAAGCATCTGTTTGTCCTGGAATGGTTTCCAGTCCTCACTTGTCAAAAGCATCCCAATCCCAGTCATGATACTTCTACACA